ATACTTTTCCTTTTTTTGTTCTTTTTTTTTTTTAAAAAAAAAAAATTCCCTGTTTCTAACAAGTTCACATAGTGCATTAAGGAGAAAAATCATTTTGCTCATTTTGCTGTTCCTTCCAAAGACCTGTGCTTAATCCATACGGCCACACTGTGTGTCCTCTACATTGTGTGTCCTCTACGTAGACACAAAAGAGGACAGTGAAGGACAGCCCAACTGTCTGACCCACCAGCCCTGAAAATAAAACAATTCCAAGGAAAATGAACCTAAAGGAGTTTTTGCTCCTTTCAAGTCTTCACCCAGAGCTGTAGTAACTCGGGAATTAATAAAAGACTTCTGGACAGAATGTATCTTTATTACTGCCAAGTGCTGCTGTAAAACGAGCACTGGCTCTGGAGAGCCCCCAAGCAGCCGCGTCCTCCCCTTGCTGAAGGCAGAGAGGAGATGCTCCCTGTAGGGGTCAGGCTGGTACTAGAAATGCCCAGGGTTCGTGCCAGGCACCCTGAGGGTTGTACGCACTGTTTAATCAAAGCAACCTCATGCTGTAGTTGTTTTACTGAAAAAAAACTAAAAAAATTACCCCAGTATGCTGCATCTTTACGGAGCAAAAGAGGCAGAACTAAAAGTTGCATCATTGTATTCAACAAGCTTGCCACAATCTGTTTTTCTTTCTCAGAAAAAGAATTCAAGGATTGGTTTTAAATTATGAAGACAGGGTGCTCTGCAGCCACACAAAGACTGGGGCAGCATAAGCAGCATTCTGTCTCCATACTCTCACACACTCACCGGTTCTTTTGCTTCAGCACTGCAGTTAGCCTCATAGATGGTAGTGCACTATCAAGTAAAACATGACCTGCCACTAATATACCAAATCACAGAATGGTTGAGGTTGGAAGGGACCTCTAGAGATCATCTAGTCCAACCCCCTGCTCCAGCAGGGACACCCAGAGCACGTGGCACAGGGTGCCGCCATCCAGGCGGATTTGGAAGATCTCCAGAGAAGGAGACTCCACAGCCTCTCTGGGCAGCCTGTTCCAGGGCTCACAGTAAAGAAGTTCTTCCTCACATGGAGATGGAGCTTCCCATGTTTCAACTTACGCTTGTTACCCCTTGCCCTGTTGCTGGCCACCACAGAGAAGAGGCTGGCCCCATCCTCCCTACAATCACCCCTCAGGTACTTGAACACATTGATCAAATCTCCTCTTGGCCTTCTCTTCTCCAGACTAAACAGGCCCAGCTCGCTTAGTCTGTCCTCATACAATAGATGCTGCAGGCCCTTAATGATCTTCGTGGCTGTGTGCTGCACCCTCTCTAGAAGCTCAATGTCCTTCTCGCACTGGGGAGCCCAGAGCTGCACCCAATACTCCATGTGCAGCCTCACCAGAGCTGAGCAGAGGGGGAGGATCCCCTCCCTCGACCTGCTGGCAACGCTCCTCCTGATGCAGTCAGGATCCCATTGGCCTTCTTGGCCACGAGGGCACAGTGCTGCCTCATGGTTAACCTGTTGTCAACCAGGACTTCAAAATCCCTCTCTGTGGAGCTGCTTTCCAGCAGTTGGGGAACTGCTGGAAATCTGTATGGTGCCTGGTGTTATTCCTCCCCAGGCAAATGCAAAGGAACCATCACTCATTTTCTGTCAAAAGAGGGGAACTGCAGAAGTGGTCTTTTCTGTCCCAGAGTCTTGGCATATCATGATCCTAACTATATATAATAATTTCACACAGAAAAATTTGTTGCAAAAATTGGCTAAAAGAAAATGAGGAAAGGGCATTGACTTGCCTGTGATTTTTGACACTGCTCCTTATTTTCAGAAAATTACTTGACTGCTGAGCTAAAATAAAAGTCATGAGGGAAGGTGCAGTGGATCAGATTTTAGAAGAGCTGGCTCTATAGGAGCAGGCTGGCTAGACAGGGTGAAACATCTCTATCTGCTGACTTAAATTCTAAATAGGGGATGACACTAAAATAAATACATAATGTAAAAATAGTATGAATGGGATAAATAATTAACAATGAACCTCAGTGGTTAAATTTTATTAAATACATTTAACAGTAACACACCAAATAGAAGCAAGTTTAGTTTAGCTATATCAATGCCAACATGATAAAAAGGTGGTATTCGCATCAGAGCAACAGGCTTCCCATACCCATCACATCTCAACTACCGTTACAAAATTGTTATGTAGCATCTCCACTCTAATGACCTGCATTTAAATAAACTTGCAAAGAGCTTGTTAGTAATTCCACTCATCTTACTGCAAAGTGTTCAAGATCTCAGAACCGAGAAGTTTATTTGCAACCTGCGGCAGTGATAAAAGCAGCAACGCCAGCTTTAATCCCGAGGATGATTCAGACCATGTGGGGCAGAACATACAGACTGCTGCACAGGTTGCTTTGTAGCAAAAATGGGGATTATAGAAAGTTCCCTCTTTCAAGATTCTTATATGTGCAAGAGTCAAAACAGGCAACAAAAAAAGAATACAGCAGTAAAAGCATAAAATATTGCTTGGAAGAAAATGTGTGTACAAAGCAGTGGCTAAGGAGAGTCGCTGGCCACACACTGTTCCTAAAAAAATATTCAAGGCTTCCTGTTGTCCATCAAAAGATAAAGGCATTCATTTTTGAAAATAGATAAAAGTTACACCAAACAGTTCAAGGAAGGCTTGCTGGCTAGTTTGATGTTGTTCAGTTATCTGGGTAAGAAAGAATCCCAGAATATTAAAAATGAAAAATGTTTCACTCAGTGATTTGAAGCAGGAGTAAATTCTAAAAATGAAAGGCAGAATGTGTCCTGGAGATTTGAACCAAAGACAGTGTTAGACTCCATTTATGCATTACAGGGTCAGTAAGAGAGCTCACCAACTCCTGGAACCCTGAAATTGTCAGTAAGTAAATACACGCAAGAATTCAGGCAGTTTGACACAGTTCTTAAACAAAACAAAAGCTTTTCTCAAATTCTAAAGCTTTTTTTTTTTTTAAAAAAATGTTTGTTATAAAAATAATGACCCAGGAAGTGTTTTATGGTAAGAATATTTTATATATATATTTTACACTTTTAACACTTACAAAAACATTCAAACACAAAAAATTAAATAACTTTGGAAGCAGAACAAGTCTTTCTGCCTACACACATACAACAATTCCGAGCTGTTGGCACAAAAAGTAATCCACATTCATAAAACCCTTACTACTATATCAAACATAAGTTAAGTAAATCATAGGCACTAGTTTATCAAACCCATATTTCCACACTTCTGCAGTATGTCTCTAAACATGGAGCCCCACGATTTCCTGATATCAACAAACTGGTAATGCACCAAGGCTTTCTAGTAAACAGACAGTTTCTCTTTTCAGGAAGTTGTTAACATGTTTCAGGGGAGTAGGAGAGCAGAGAAAAGAACTTACAGAAGTTGAGAAAGTTGAGATCGACTTATCCAAGCGATGAATTACTTAAGGAAACACAATTTGATGCAGCCATGGTAAACCCCCAATATCTTAATGAAAACTGACTTTCCAAATTTAAGTGTTCATTGTTTAAAGAATCCACCGATTACAATTTGCCTATTTTCAATGAAGACTGCAGCACTGCTTTGTAAAATGCCAAAATCTTAAAATTTGGACTTTAATGAGAACAGGTACATTTGATCTAGTCCTTTCTTCTGCGTTGCATGAGATGTTTACTAACTGACAGCCATTACCCGGGCCAAAAAGGGCTGCAGGGCTGGACTAACGGCACGGGCTGCTCTACGGGCAGCAGGTAGGATCTCTGCCTCTGCCCAGCTCGCTGCATTGCAGCCACCTGATCCCTGGTTCGAGTCTCAGCACCATCTGTGTGGAGAGGGGAGGCCCTGGTCGGGCCCGAGTCTGCCTCCAGCTGCTGGGGAATCCGAGCTGCTAGGTAGTCTCTTCTCCTCCTCCTTTGGCTTCTTCCAACTCGAGCAGTATTGCATGGCTGTTCACCCAGGGATAGGCTAATGCTGGCCTAAAATTCAAGTGCTAGAATCTGTGAGCTAGTTTTCCTCCTAGTGGTGGGAATCCGAGCAGTTCACAGCTCTGATCCTAGGGGTTAAAGGCCGCCTACCACCCAGCCCACCCGCTAGTGACTCTCAGTCACTGCACAAAGGACTACGTTCACCTTCTGCTGCTTCATCAACCGTACGTCCAAAATACTGAAAAAGCTCCAGACAAAATCCTTCCCTTCCCTGTACTTCTTCCCACCCAAAACAACTTTACAAATGTTTGCATGACGTCTTCTAAAACAGAAATGGTTCAAATGCTCGTCATATGAACAACTTCTTCTGACCAGGATGTGCTGGAATAAGTAAAAGCCACCAGAGGAATTTAATAATTTGTAAACAGATGTTGCAGGTTTCATACTGTTGCCAGTAATGTAAGATACACATATGTAAGGCAAAATACATATTTAAACACACTTACATGGGCAATAACTTCTGTAAAAATATTTACAATTTAAAATAAACCAATTTAAGAAATGAATGAAAGTAAAAAAAAAAAACAGGATACAGAAAACTCCCTCATACCATGGAACATCACCTAAATGAATATCATTTGGCATCAAGAGTACAACTCATTACCTTGGAATTTGTATGTTACAAGTGCATAGTTGTGTTTCCTTCTCATTAACTATCAGCATTTACAGCTGTGTTCCGGGCTGTAAGCATAGTGGTATCAGAAGTATATGGTATCAGAACAAATTAATAGTACTACTTGCTCTTTCCTTTTTAAGGAAACCTGCTGTAAAAAAAGTTTTCCCCAAATAGCAAGCCATGTGTTAAAAATGTGGCTACAATAGCAAAGGCCATCTTTCCTGAGCAAGGAACGTGAAGGTTTAGAGAGATTGTACAACTGAGAAGAAGCCCTTTTGGCAACCAAACTCATAAGAGCACGTAAAACTGATGTATCAAATCAACCTAGGAAAGATGCAATCAATACTATTGCATTTGTGTATGTCTGCTACATTCCAACCTTTACTGATAAAAAAACCATGACTACTATTTACTGTTCTGCTTTGTCCTCCAGAGTGACATTTGATTCCTTCCAAAGGATGTACGTACCACTCTCCCCAACAAGCATCTTATACAATTCTTAAAGTCAATGTTCCACTAGCACTGTAGCAGTCTGCAATCAGAATATTAGCTCTGATCAACACAGTCTTGTTACTGCAGTTGTACATATTCACCAATCTTTCTGCTGAATTAAAATAGGCTGAACTTTTGGACACGTAAGTCGGCTGTTATACTTGCTGCTTTTCAAGATGGGCATTTCTTTGGCATTCGTTAGGTGTTTGCCCAGACATTGGCCACTGTCATAAATGCTCAAATTGATACGCTCTTAGCAAGCAAGGAAAAAAAATCCAACAGAACTGATAGCCATTTCATGTAAAAGCGATTGTATGAACACCAAACATCTGATGTTAGATGTCATTAAAGTGCTGCTTTATAATCTCTGCCAGTTTGTGCTAATTAGAGACAGAGAGGTCTGGGATTTTTACAAATCCCCAAAGTCACATCTGAACAGTCTGTAGAATCAAGCTGTCTTTTAGCCTGGGGGGGAAGCATCCATGAGCACTGGAACGTTGCAGTTCAGTAGCAGCCATCTTTCCAACTCTCATCTTTCACGTTGCCATAGGTTTTGGGAGCAGGCAATGATCTATAACAAAACGAGACTTCAGTTTCACACTTAAATGCTCAAGGCTCCATCTACAATACCCGAGAATTCTATTAATCACCAAAACACACACTTTATTCTTTTGCCTTTCTGCAATACGTTTTTTCTCAACATAAACACCAAGCTATCTCTAGTGTAAAAAATATGTACTATATTTTGACAATTAACTTCAGCATCAGACAAACATCATATATAAACAGAAAACTTTTCACTGTTGTCCTCTATGAGGATACAGATTTAATCATCTGATATTTAGAAACAGCCATAGAAGTTTTCCAGTGATGCAGGAACAGGGAAGTCCTTGTTTTTAGTATGGCATTTTACTTATGTCAAAAATCTTTAAGAGTCTGCAGGCACCGCATTACACCGTGCGCATAACCTTTCCAAAATACAGTTGTGTATGTTTACTAAGTGAAACTAAGATTTGTTGTGATCAGGACAACTCCAGTTCATTAGTTGTAAGAATTTTGTCAGAAACAACTGCTTTATGTGACACCAACTTTCAGATTCATACATAGTGCAAGGCAGTCACTACTATGACAGTCATTTATTACTCCCCTGTCTGATGCTCTTTACAGAACATAACTTCTCCACCTTGTTGGGTCTGTTTTGTCCATCATGATACTGAAGACCAATGTTTTATCCTTTCATTCATGGGATTCTTACTCACAGGTGGCTGCATCCTCACTATTCCTTCCTTGGATGACAGCTGGCTTTCATGGGACCCCTTCAGTGAGAGGTCTACACTAGCACTGCCTCCAATGGCATTAAGAGCACAGACTCTGAATTTGTGCATTACTTCTTTCTGATTCTCCCAAAGACAAACTATGTGGCCTTCCTCTTTAATACTCGGTGTCTTGACCTTGTTTTCCAGAACACTGCCATGAAGCAGCTTCTACATATGGATGCTTGCACAGAGAATTTTCAACTGAAACATCACATTTTGCCTACGATTTAACTGTCCTGACTTTTAGGTCAAGTTTAAAAAAATGCTATAGATGCCTCCTCTATTCTTAAAAATCTTTTCCTTCTTAAAGTTTTTTAGCTGCACAAGGAGAGAAACTGTTCTACTGTGGTGCCACTGCATCACACCTGCACTACAAAGAACACATTTCTTACTTCAATACATGATTCTCAGTGGTATAAATGAGTTTTCACTGCCAGCTACACTTCAATCTATGTTAGAAACATGAGTAAACACTTCACATGGCAGTCTTAGATTCCGTTTTTTTCTCCAGACCTGGGGACCGTACAACAGCTGCAGGAACGAGCAGCACAAACACAGCGTACGCGACCCGCCGAGAGCAGTCCAGCTGGAGATGCCCTCGGGAAAGACCTACCTGCGAACGGGCTGTGCAAGTTTGCTGCGAGGCACTGGGATGCCCCCGGGAGCAGGGGCGCTGGGTCTGGGCAGGCTGCGAGCGGAACTTGCTCGGAGAAGGTACTGGAAAGGAAGACACACGCGTTACTGCCCTCTGGAATTACAGCGCAACGGACAGCTCAAAAGCCAGAAGTGACTTCAGGGGAAAAGTCAAACCGTATGGAATGTGTAATGGAATACAGCCAGTCAAGCAGCAATGAGAAACAGGAATTCAGATGTGCTCTTGGTGTTTCCGTTATCATAACTTGAACACTCCACTTGTCTACTGGGAGTATTTATGAGGATTTATATGTAAGGCTCTAATCATAGAGCCAATATGACTCTAATATTGGCCAATGTAAGACCAGTAAGTCAAAAAAGAGGTGAATATACTTTTTGAGGAGAAATTTATCTTAAGACACCTGTGAAGTGCATTCCCACTCCTGAGAAGAACACATTCAAGGATACAGAATTCTATCGTGCCATGTTCCTTTAGTATTAAAGTCAAATTGCATATTCGCTTTCAATGATGAAACTGTTAGTGAACAGGGCATCTTTAGTTTCTCCTGTGGATTTCTTTTTAACCAAATCCATTGAATTAAGATTCACCTAATATTACAATCAAGTTCAGGAATGATCATCTGAAGAGGAGAAGACAAACAAACAAACAGGGCTAGCCAACCCTAAAAGGGTTAAGATACAGCAGTGAATTTCAGACCAACTACAACAATTCACAATCTTCCTCTTATGGAGATTATCGGAATTTTCAGTACCACTAATGCCTGATTTAAATATTTCATAGCAGAGATAGTAAGAAAGATGCAGGTGTTTAACAAGCCCTTTCTGGGAAAGCCTGTATGCCAGGAAAAAATCCATTTATAAGTTTAGTCTTACTACACAGCACATTGTGCAATCCCTTAATACAAGGTGTACACACAAATGTACTCCATTAACAGGTTTCATAGGGTTTCATGAATGTTTTTCTCAATGTTATTTCTGCAATAGCAAGGGGTCTTATTATAACCTAAGAATTCATTTCTGATTTTTATTAGAGCTAGCAATAAGCAACAAAATTGATCTTCACAGCAAGGTACTCACAAAAAGAACATACAACTGTCTTACAGTAAAGCCAAAGCTTAAGCACATTTCTTCATGAGTAATAGAAATATTTTCAAAATACATGTAACATATCACTAAACAGAATAAACTAATCCATCTTCTTGATACTTCAATTGAATGCCACCAGCTTTTTAAACCGTTTGGGGTGTGATTCAGTAACAGCTGACACCAGCAATAAATTCAATCAGGAAAACACACGAAATCATTTACATTTAGTGAACCCGCATGAACTATTACTATTTACTATTACTTCCTCTACCGAACAAGCTTATTCACACAACCACCAAAGCTGAACCCTCTGGCAGATGCTGTAACAAGAGGAATGGTCCCTCGCAAAGTTTTTACCATCATTTTACAAGCTAGATCCACTAGTAATGAAATAATAGTAATGACAGAAACATAATATCCCCAACGTGGTGCCGCAGAAGTGGCAGTTTTCAGGTTGCATTTTGAAGTCGTTCCTGACAGGGGATATATAGGAAGTTTAATGGGTGCTTTCGTAGAGGAGAACCTCGAGGGACTGAGTGCCTTTCCAAGAGGGCCTTTCCCCAGAGAAGCAGCAATAGCAAGCAGAGCACGAAGCGGCTCGCGGCAGAGCACGAAGCCGCTCGCAGCAGCGCTGACGAGACAGGTGATAGAGATGTCAGCAATACATGACAGTTGGTAAGTGGTGAGGAGAAGAAATAAAAGCCCTTAAAATAAAAAGCTTGGGGACAAGCCAGAGGATGGATTAAGGAAAGCAGTAATAGCAGAATGACTGGACAGGAACAGCAGCGAAGTCCTGCTAGGATTAAGCCTGCTTAGAGCTTGTTGAAATGTGACATTGCCTGCAGCATTGCTGTAGGCAGATCTGTACAACCGCCAAGCGAGTCTGCAGCTTAAACACAGGGAGCTTTGATCACGCTGCTTTTCCTTATTGCACCGGCTGGAACACGCACTGCAGTTCGCAGCTGCGCCACACCGCAGCGCTCGTGTCTGAAAACTGAAGACACTTCAGCTTCAGGCCTGCTGAGGGCCCAGTGCCCTCTTAGAGGCACGACAGAGAAAACGTTCTATGTACGGAACATAATTAAACTCAGAACTGCAGAGCTTTTGTCATTTTCCAGTGCAAGTACCCAGCAAATTGGGCCTTTCTACAGTTTTCTCTTGACCATATTTTACCATATTTCCAACTTGAATTACCAGTTCATAAAATGTTTCCTGTCAACACAGCATTGCAGATGTTTGAGCACTGCATTCATTCTTTGACATAAAAGAACGAATTGTCTCCTAATGTGCTGTGATTGCCAAGGCTGTTGCATGATGCAATTGCTGGCAGACTGCCTCGTAATTCTGTCCTACACAAGGAATTCTGTCCAAGAACAGTTTTGGATACTTAATGAGAGTCAGTTTGGTTTTTTACTTAATAAGAGTCATTGGATACTTAATAAGAGTCAGTTTAACATTTAAGACAGGATGACAAGACATGAGGTATTGCCTTAGTTATATATGTTATATAAGCCTATATATGTTATATAAGCCTATCCAATACTCTATCCCAGCACGCACTACTGAACTGATGTGTTTAATAAAAGCCTGTAGTGATTGTTCAACAAAATTAAACAACTCCACCTCCTTAGAAACCAAACTAGAACAAGGCATAATTAGTATCTCTGTCAATAATAAAAGCACGTGCCATGGTGCAGTGATGACATTTAGGTTTTCCACTCTCTCAGAACACTGTCCTTGGCCATAGGCAGGGTGATAATCGCCCCTCAAAGGAGGATGCGGGCGCCTGGATCACATCCCAAAGCCAGACTGCCTTGACCACTTCTCCAAAAACAGAACTGACTGCAAGGTGGGTTTTTTATCATTCCCATCCTTAGGAGGTGATTCAGACAGATAGGAAAGAAGAGATGAGGTCAAACAACGGGATTAAATGAGCTGCTCTGTTATCTGACTGATACTACATTGCTACATAAGCCTCAACAAATCTATTACAGTGAGGTAGGGTATTATTTATGTTATTTGAATGTATGTTTGACAGAAGATGATAAATATTGCCCAAATCTGTGTGTTAAGGTATTAAACTATAGAATAAACAGCACTTTAAGGATCTAAAACCAATTCTGTTCAGTCATTTACCCTTTTGAAACAAAAGTTGTTTTTTTGTACTGTATAATGCTTTCATAACCATAAGAATCTTGGACCAGAAACAAGAAAATCAAGACATCAAGGACTATAAAAGAGCAAAAAACTGGAAGAGACACACTGGGTTCTCGTTCTTAGGGACCCGTGAGCATAACCAGACACAGGAACGTGTAGCTGGCAGTGCAACACACCTTGTTCATAATCCTCTTGGCTTTAATAAAACTCTACAAATAATATAAACTCAAAAACAAGTTAATTTTTAAAAAAAGCAGGTTTCAACAGCGCTGGGCTAGACTGTTGAGCTTGTAAGTTCTCTAAGCATCCAGATGAAAGCAAAAGCATTTGGAAAGCAGCACAGGAAGCGCTGGGCAGGCATAGAGAGGTAGGTAGGTCTTACCCAGAGAACTTTGAGAGACCTTTTCTTAAATGGCCAAGAAATTTTTGAAGACTGTCCGAGACTTATGCCTAGCCCTGGGCATTTGTCTCAACGTCATTATATTTTGCTATTTAAGGAGAAGACAGGATAGAACTTCGTAGACAGGATAAAGTTGACTGAGGTTAGCACTGTTATACTACCGAGAGCAGCGCATGCATTTTGTGATCCACTTGCAGCATCTGCATGAAGGTTTTTGTAATTCTCTATTACACTTCTAGCTTAAAAATAGTTAGAAATGAAATATCTTAAAAATGAGATCATGTAGATTTTAG